GTGGGGTGAACGATTAAGGGGAGCGAGACAGAAATGACAGAATGGGGGCAAGGGGGGGGGGGCAAGTTTGGGGTTTATCCGTCATATTGATGACATTGTGCTACTTAGAAACGACATAATGGTTATTGAAATAAATTGGTTCAAAATCAACAAGAAGAAGAACATGACAGTTAATTTATGCATCCTCGAGGGAAATTAGACCCACTGAAATGTGAAAAAGGTGCCCAACTTGAATGGCCACGGGGAAGGGTGTAATTCGGGTATCTTTTCACAGTGTTTCTAAGAATACAGAAGATCCTTTGAATTATGATGTTGGAGGATAGATAGAAATTATGCTCTAACACGAAGAAGGACGATTGTTTTCGTGTGTGCTTTATTAATGGCTATGGGAAAAGAGGCAGTGTAGTCATACACGATGTCTCAGACTTGCTTGTAACAAAGGAAATGCTTTGAATTATGGAGTATATCAGGATGGATAGGATAAAAATATTATAACTTTTATTCTTTTTTAAAGAAATTAAATGCATATTCAGACCGAGTTGTTGATATAGAACTTCTACAACTAAAAAAAGGCTTTGAATTATTAAGTGGGAAGGGATGAACACGATGAAGTTGTCATTCTTGCAGGAGGAAAATACTGCCGTGTTGGGTAAAGAAACGTCTTTTGCGAGAAGCATGTCTACCAGTTATGAAGGAAAGATTGAGTCAGAATATGAGCTGGTGTTGGTGTGCCCCAAAAATGTAGTACATCACCAATAAAGAAAGATAAAATGTCCAATAACATTAGAGTCGCTTGTTCTTTGTATGTAAGGATCCAACAAGTTACATCTGAACGCTAAAAAGCATCCACTGGCATTGTCAAAGTTTCAGTGCTTACAAACGCCACTGCGCAGTTTGAAGAGGAGTTCTTGCAAATGAAATGCATCTCCTGGTATATAATCATTAGCGTGATGTGCAAAGCGCTGAGTAATTTCAGAGACATATATTTACTTTTTTTTCCAGCCGATTCTTAATCAACTGATTTAATGTCTAAGCACACCTGATGTCTTTGGCGCGTTTCGAGATTTCTTGTTCCAATTTTTAAAACAATTTGAAGAGTTATTTGTAAAAGCCTGAGATTCCTTATAAAATGAGGAAGAGCAAAAGCAGTTGAGCTCTGTAAAGATACGACAAAAAGTCATTGAACAAAAGTAGTTATATATGTTTCCATCACCCCAAAGAAGGTGAACTATGAAAATGGCTCATGATAGGTAATGTGTTGGAATTTATAATTGCCTCGTTGCTGATGTTGTTGTTGTTGTTGTTGTTGTTGTTGTTGTTTTTGTTGTTGTTGTTGTTGTTGTTGTTGTTGTTGTCTCCTTCTATAATGTTACTGTCGAATAGCCTTGTAGATGGTAGATGCAATAGTCTTTCTTACAAGTTGTGCTGAAGGAAGCTCAGCCATAAACAATCTATTTAACGTAACAATTAAGGCTTTCGAATAAAAAAAGGTACATTGGAAAGTGTCCTAACGGCTATCGCTTGTACAAACGACTAATTCCCACTTCTCTCTTGCGTTTTTTCTATATTATTATCATGCCACTGCCCAACACGTCCACCTGTCTAAGAGAACCACTCTTCACATCGCCATTGCGTAACCGTTTTGAACCATTTCGGCTGTATTTTCTCCACGTTAAGTCGAAGTAGATGAATTAATTATGATGACGCCAGTCCAAAAGTCGTTGGAAAACAAACCCCACACCGACACATTTTTCTTTCCACAGGAACTGACGCAGGGCGTTCAAGACTTTAACCTTGACCTTTCCAACGAAGATTTGACCACACTGTTCAGGGCCCTCGACCGGGACCGGAATGGACACATAGATTTCAAAGAGTTTATGGACTTGTTGACCCCTCCCATGGGGAAAATCAGGATCAAGGTCGTCAACGAAGCTTTTGACAAGATGGACGTCAATGGAGACGGTGTTCTGAAACTGGACGACTTGCAAGGTACAGTAAATCTTTCGTATAAAGAGGAGCACAGAAAGGTCATTACAAAGAAAGAAAAATTACTCAGAATTACCTATATCGGCTTGAAAAAAAGTGGAGAATTCAAAACAACTTTGCAGATGCAGAATTATACAATTTATTATATTCTAAGGGCAGTTAACGCTTAGCCTAGATCACGGGATTTAAACGAGATACATTATTGATAACACGTTCTTTTTTAGCCAAAGAGGGGATAAAATCGGTGGTCAAAGTTAACTTTAGTCTTCTAGTCGAAGTTTACTTTTTCGGAATCAGATACGAATAGGAAGTTGTGTTATGGTAACTTTTCATTGCAATTTCGGATCTTGTAATGGTAGAAGAAGAAGAAGAAGAAGAAGAAGAAGAAGAAGAAGAAGAAGAAGAAGAAGAAGAAGAAGAAGAAGAA